CCACTGATTCAACATGTCCCTCAAGGCAACAGGCCCCTAAATCGGGAGAGACTGTCACATGTTACCCATTAATAATACTCAACTGTTTCTGCATACTCAAACCCACAGGTTAGCACTAGAAGCAAGCCACAACTCCAGCCTCACCAAGTCCATCCTCCTACAATCCTTAGGAGCAGCCCCCTTAGCAACTTCCCTGTCAGCCTGGGAAAGAGCAGCACATGTGGACAGGACCCAACATTTACCTTTCGAAATCCAAGGATGTATTAACCCTCACCAAGGAGTATATTTTCCATGTGGAAAAACCCTTTACATTTGCCTGCCTACTAACTGGACTGGTACATGAACTCTAGCATACATATCCCCACCCATAACCTATTCTTTTGAAAACCAGCATACATTAGTCCCAATAAACACCTTGAGCCAAAACACACGTGCCTTGCAATTTATCCCCCTACTTGTCAGCCTAGGAATTGCAACAGGCGTAGCAGTTTATGAGAAAGTTTGGATGAAATATCTTTACAGCTATCCCAAATTCAGACTGACTCCCTAGCAGAAGTAGTTCTCTAAAATCGAAGAGTCCTAGACTTACTTACAGCAGAAAAAGGAGGAATCCTGCATATTTCTCAATGGAGAATGCGGTTTTCTTTTTGGTGAACAAATCAGGCCTGTCTGAGATGGTATAAAGAGATTAAAAGAAAAAGCAGCAAGGCTGAATTCCAGTAATTCTCCAAGCTTGTGGCTCACCCAAAATATCCTCCCTTGGTTGTTACCCTTTTTAGGACCACTATTCTGGTAGTGTAGTGGTTATGAATAGGGCTGCTAACCTCAGGGTCAGCAGTTCGAAACTACCAGCTGTTCTGCAGGAGAAAGATGAGGCTTTCTGCTCCCGTGAAGATTTATATCCTCGGAAACCCTGTGCAGGGTCGCTATGAGTCGGAACCGACTCCACGGCACATAACCACCACCACCACCACCACTCCTCCTTTGCCGGGAGCTGTATTCCTGCCTTGTATGAATCCAGGCTGAGATATGTTTCAGAAAAATGAAGTTTAGAAATCAAAGAAATTTCCATCAAGATGTTGGGAAGCCAAAACTATGGTATGGAGTCATATTTGCTTAAAAGTAGTCATTCCTGAGGTCCTATCACATCTATCTTAGAATACTTGGTATTTTATTGTACATATTTAAAAAAATATTTAGGTAGCTTTTAATAATAAATTCCATTGTCATTGAGTCGATTATGATTCATAGCAACTGTATACTATGATCATGGTTCATAGTATACAGTTTCTGAAGCTGTAAATCTTTATGGGAACAGAAAATCGAATCTTTTTCCTGTGGAGTAGATGGTGGATTTACACTACTAACCTTGACGTTAGCAGTCCAGTGCTTATCCCTCAGCACCATATTAGAAACACACCAGGCTTCTTGTTAAGTGCCATCAAGTCAGTTCTAACTCATAACGACCCTTTATAGGGCTATCAAGGAACAGCTGATGAGTTTGAACCACTGACCTTGTTGTCCAAATCGACCTGTGGTCTAGTGATTTAGCGGAGATTTATTTGTTACTAAAACTATTAACTAACCCCCTTTTATGGAGCTCGATACGGAATCCCAGATAGAAAGCAAATGTGACTCAAAGCCCCTTAAAGGGGTATTCCAGTGAATTATTTATATTTGTGAATCACAGTTATACACAATTCTGTACAACTCTTCAAACTAGTGAGGAGGAACCTTACTACAGATTGAGAAGATTGGGCAGGAGTGGTCGAGAGATAGGGCCGACTGAAAGTATTCCCATCACGCCCTGATGCTGTCACCTGAGCATCTTCTATAATCAAGTAAAGCTGGTGTGAGACGTGAGAGAGTAAAGAGGACGCAAGTTCAACAAACTGCAAACTGGTAGCTATTTTAGGAAACTTTCCCGTTTGTAACTCAACAAGGAATGTTCTGAGACTTTTCATAACAGGTCTTGAATATGCAGAGGTTAAATTTTAAAAGGCTAGAGTCTAGTATAGTTAGAAAGTAGTGTTCTTGCTCTTACATAATCTTGGGTAATAAGAATCTTGTTGTTAAGTGTCCTCAAGATGGTTTCAACTTGTAGTGAAGCTATACAGGATTTCCAAAGAGCAGCTGGTGAATTTGAGCCACCAACCTTGTGGTTCAAACCAAGCTTGCACGTCAGTGCTTATCCTACAGTGCCATACCAGGACTGTAGATAATAAAATATAAAGGAGGTTATATTCAATGAAACTGGTCAGTGTTCCATTCTGTTGTGCATAAGGTCACCCTGAGTTGGAACCAACTTGACATCACCTAACAACAACAACATATTCAGTGAAAGTGGGAGTTCAAATAGTGCTTAAAATATTTAAAATTTTAAAAATCCTGTTGGGAGTCATTAAATGAATCTGACAGAGTTAATGCAAAGGTCATTTATTATCAAAGAAGAAATGTCATTCAAAGTAAGCAATTTGTTTTGTAATATGGTATGAAAATATTTTTATATACAGATAATAGTGTCAAAATTAAATATATATATTGCATTGAATAAAAGGCCAACATATATTATTCTCTTAAAAATATACTTCACAACTTGCAAACTCATATAGACAAGTTTTGTTATACATAGATGACAAAAGTAACTCAGTACTATGGTTAGCATCCTTAGAAGGATGGTTTTCTGTTTTCTTTTGTTTTTACGTTATCCTTTATTTTCATTTAAATACATGTGTATACCATTTACAGAAGGCACTGTGTTAAACATTCACATTTAATTTAAACTTCTCTTAAGTATCTTGAACTCCTTTATACTGTTGCTTCTTTCATTAACTTTGTATTGCGAATTTGGTGAAGATTTTCAGAGCAGATTATCAGTTTTACATTCAACAATTAACAACATTTTTTTTCATCTCTTTGATTCCAATCCACTCGATGTAATTTATTCCACTTCCTCTCTGCATATCCTGTTTCCATTCCTCCTCCTTTCCTAACCTTTCTGAACTTTGTCCTTGGGTAAATGCTGCTCTTTTGATTTCAAATGGTTGATTATCCTAAGGTGTGTATGCCTCCCTAGATACTACCTACTTGCCTTATGTTGCTGTTGTTGTTATGTGCCGTGGAGTTGGTTCCGACTCATAGCGACCCTCTATAGGGTTTCTGAGGCTGTAAATCTTTATGGGAGCATAAACCTCATCTTTCTCTGCAGAATAGTTTCAAACTGCTGACTGTGAGATTAGCAGCCTGATTCAAAACCACTATGCCACCAGGGCGCCTTTTAGACCTGTCTACTCTTTGACTGAAAATTGAGCTGTGGGGGTTCATTTCCAAACCTGTCTTCATCTGGTCAGTAAGCCAAGTCTTTTAAAAATAATTTTCAGTTTTGTTCGACCTTTTTCTCCCATTCTATATAGAACTTTCTAATATGATTCCTTTCAGAGCACTTGGTGGCCGGGTACCATCTATATCATCTGGTCTCAGGGTCCTGAAGACAACTTGATTTTATGAGCATTACCAGTTAATCTTGAAACAGTTCCATCCAAGAAGATACAAATTTCCTCTCTTAATGCAGTATACTGATGCAGACTGGGTCACACATTTGTTTATAATGAAACAATGTACATGTTTAATCCATCCAGCAATCATTCTACTTCATAGATTTGATATTTTTGCTCTGAAATTCTCAAACAAGTGTAAAAAGTCTTATTACAACTGGTACCTTATATGGATTGTTCTATGCAAAATCAGTTCAGAATTAATGCAGATTGATATGTGCCCACTACAAATTACAATGTTGATTGCAGCATTTGGTTTCCACTGTTATGCCCAGCATAGTTTAAAGTAGGCACTTTTTTCAAAGGCTGTGATCCATTTTAACCAGGATGCATTTGTAGCTTTTAACAGGCATTGTGTCCCCTTCCTTAAGATTGCACAGGTAAATTCTTGATAGCTGCAACTCCAGTTCATGAATTTCTAGATTGCCAGTCCATATTTGTTCAGGGATCTTTAGCACCTCTCAAAATTTTATTCCAGCAAGTCTTTATCTGTTCTAGAAGTTTCTTTAGGAAACACAAGTCATTCTGTTTTTTCTGTTCCTTCAACAATTTATTCACTTCCTAGATAAATGCAAACAAAAAGTTTTATTTATACATGTTTATAAAAATATGAGTTTTAACAGTCAATCTATTTGTAATAATCTTTCATTTCTATCATGTTAGTCCTTACTGAAAATCTGCTACAAATTTTGATATACTGAAAGAGAGGATGAATCTTGCAGGAAGTTTTTGTTTTTAACTTCTGGCTGATAAGAATAATTTTGATTAGTGAAGTGTGGAACACTCAAGGTAGGTTTAGTTTAGTACATAGGGTCGATCACAGTGCTGTCAGGAGACTGTTATTTTCACACTCCAACTGTAGACATAATACTATTTAAGCTTTTGTGAGAAAGATATTTGTAGATTATTCAATAGAAGATTTTTATAAAAAGTTTTTTTTTTTAACATTATTCATTCCACTAAGAAACACACACACATAAACAATAAAACATGGAAAAACATATGCTTAGTGGAAGTAATAATTAACACTGAAAATCTTCAGATTATTTTATTAAAGGAGATTTATACTTGGTTGAGCCTGTGCCCTAGGGCTTACTCAATCATATGGCCTTCACCAAAGCATGGAAGATACCTAAATCCTAAACTAATTTTTAGCATCTAATGAGAATGGAGCTTTGGTTGCATAGTGGATTACTAGTTAAGCTGCTAACCGAAAGGTCAACAGTTCAAATCTACCAGCCGTTCCATGGAAGAAAGATGAGGCATTCTGCTCCCGTAAAGATTTACAGCCTTAAAACCCTTTACAGGGTCGCTATGAGTCAGAACCAACTCCACAGCACAGAACTACCACCACCACCAATGAGAATCAGGATTCCTGGTATGGTGCTGTAGGACAAGTACAGGGCTGCTGACCATGAAGTTGGCAGTTCAAACCTTGGAAATCCTATATGGGGTTGCTATGAGTCAGAAGCAACTTGACATTACTTCATCACCACCATCACCACAAAAATAAGAATCATTTAACATTGTAGAAAGTGTAGAGATATAAGGGAATACCTCTGCATAAACTCAGAGTCCAGGGGTCATGCAAATCAACTCACTTGGTACAAGTCCTCCAAGAGGCACCTTGTAAGAAAGACCTGGCAGTCTGCTTCTAAAAAAATCAGTCATGGAGCACAGTTCTACTCTGACGTGCATGGGATTGCCTTGAGACTGAATTGATTCCATGGCAACTGGTTATTAACTCTGCAAGGCCAGAAGGTTCATAAGAATACAACTGATATAATGCAGAAACTAATTGCTGCTGAGTAAATTCTAGCTTATGACAACCTCATGTGTGTTAGAGTAGAACTGCAGTAGAGGATTTTCAATGACTGATTTTTCAAAAGTAGATCCAAGGTCTTGCTTCCAAGGCAAATCTGGATAGACTCAGACCACCAAGTTAGTAGCCAAACATTTAACTGTTTGTATTACCCAGGAACTCTGAGGCTAGTATTGTTGTTGTTAAGTACTGTGGAGTCGGTTTCGACTCATAGCGACCCCATATGAGATTTCCGTGGCTTTTAAAATCTTTTGCGGGAGCAGAAAGCTTCATTTTTCTCTTGTGAAGCCGCTGGTGGGCTCAAACTGCTGAGTCATGGCACTCCCTTAGATTAGTACTTTGATGTTGTTAAGTGCCGTTGAGTCAGTCCCTTCTCATAACAAAACCACCACACCTGTGGTTCACATCAACCTTGGAAGTGATGGTGGTTATGTGCGTGGAGTCCGGTTCCTTTTCATAGCGACGCTGTATACGGTTTCCGAGGCTGTCACTCTTCATGGGAGCAGAAAGCCTCATCTTCCTCCTGCGGAGCAGCTGGTAGTTTTGAACTGCTGACCATGACATTAGCAGCCCGATTCATAAATACTAAGCTACCAGAGCTCCTTAACTGACCATAAGGTAGGATAATTCTTAGATAATAGCTATTGGTTGTTTTCTAGGTCACGTATTATGTTCAATGCTTTACATGCATTACTGCATTTTACCTACTTAAAAAGGAGCTCTGGTAGCGTAGCGGTTACGAATCGGGCTGCGAACCTTAAGGTCAGCAGTTCGAAACTACAAGCCGCTCCACGGGAGAAAGATGAGGCTTTCTACTCCCGTAAAGATTTACACCCTCGGAAACCCTGTATAGGGTCGCTATGGGTCGGAACCGACTCGACGGCACTTAACAACAACAACAACAATGAATCTTATGAACTCAATGATAATGCCTTACTTCACAGATGCAGAAATTACACTTCAAAAAGAATATATAGCCTGCCAAGATCCAATTGCTAGTAAATAGAATGACTGGGTTTTGTGTCCAAATCTATGCAATCCAGAACCTGGTATATATATATATATATAAATTTGGTTACAAATGGGAAACTCTTTTAGTTATACAATTATTAACACTAACAAATAACCCTTTCAGGAAGATATTTCATAGATTAGACAATAGATTGCAAAGAAACATAGATAAAATTCATAATTTTTTAAGTGAGGGTTCCAGGACTTTTTTTTAAAGTACAAATTGAAGTTTACTTGACTAAGCATATTTGTAATATATAAATGCATGACTTGTTGTTGTGATGTGCCGTGGAGTCGGTTCCGACTCATAGCGACCCTGTACAGGGTTTCCAAGGCTGCAAATCTTTACGGGAGCAGAACGCCTTATCTTTCTCCCGTGGAGCAGCTGGTAGTTTCGAACTGCTGACCCTGAGGTTCGCAGCCCGATTCATAACCACTGCGCTACCAGAAAGAGATGAAAACTGAGTACTATTAAAGATACACCAAAACCAAGAACCTTAATTTTAATTCTGCAGTCCTGGGAACATAGAAACAATCTCCCTTTTCTAAACTTCCTAAAATTTCATAGCAGAAGTACTCAGTCCATTCATACTGCTTTCATTTCAGATCTTGCATTTCAAGTGGAATTCTCAAGATTTCCCAAAGCCTGGGATGTGCAAACTCACTCTGCGTCTCTAAGATGAGTAAGGAATTTCCATGTTCCCATGTATTTAATGGTTAAGTATATTATAATATACATTATTATATTATATAATTATTTATTAATTATCAATATAATTTCCATTTTTATATAATACATATAATAATAATAATGAAACTCTAAGCAGAGGACCAGTCACTTTCATAAGCCAAATGTGTTAATTTTTCTATGTCCCATTCTAGTTATTTACTTATTCCATTTAAAAATTTTAATCAGATTCAATATTCCATGCTATTTTAATTCATAAATATTTTTATATTACTTTATAATTTTCTATACTGTTGTTAGTAAGTGCCTACAGTTATTTCTGACTTATAGTGATCCTCTATAGGGTTTCCAAAGAGGGGCTGGTGGGTTTGAACTGCTAACCTTGTGATTAACAGCCCAGTGCTGATCCTATAGCACCACACCAGGACTCTAATTTTCTATAATAGTATCTATTTAGTATACAAGGAGGCTTCCAAAAGTTCATGGAAAAATGGAATTAAAACATAATGGAATTTTCTCATGAATGTTTTGAAGCCCCTTCCTATATGGATAAATATAATATATGTTGTTGTTGTTGTTAAGTGCCGTCGAGTCGGTTCCGACCCATAGCGACCCTGTACAGGATTTCCGAGGGTGTAAATCTTTACGGGAGTAGAAAGCCTCATCTTTCTCCCGCGGAGCGGCTGGTAGTTTCGAACCGCTGACCTTAAGGTTC